AGGATAATAACTGAAACATCTGCTGCTTGAAGGCTGCCTTAATTATTTGTACTATGGAATATCAAATCAAATCAAAATCTTTATTTTGGTCACTGACCAGCATAGCATTATATAATGAGTTCAACTATTTGAGCAGAACAAAGAAGTCAAAATCAGAAGCACAGAGCTTGAGTATGAGTTGCATAAATCTAATAGAATTAGACAAAATATTTATTCCAGCTAATACTATAACTCTTCAAACCAAAATAACTATTATTGCTGTAATTCCCATTAGATCTCTATTAATGCTATAAACTATTGTAGTGGTTAAGATCATATGCCAAGATAAAAAGCTTAAAATCTAAACTCTCCATAATTATGAAGCTGGAGGCACAATCACTTCTTAGTTGACTCGAGTTGATTTGGGCTATGTATCAACACTTTTGTTGTGCAGCAACTCATCCTCATTCTGATATATTGTCTTTTCTACAACTGGCTCTCTCTGGACAGCTGTGTTAAAAAAACAGCATGCAAAAATGTACCAGTAGACAAAAAACAAAACCACCCTAGCAATTGGGATCATGTGCACATTTCTTTCACACTAACTGATGATTAAACACTGTTAGTACAAATCTTGCCAGTAACCAATTGTACAGAACCAAAATCATATACAGTATATGTTGCAAAAGAAATAAATAAGAAATCAAGGATTGTTATCAGTCAGCTTTCAAACCCCTGCAATTTCCCTTATTTCTTCTATTCATTTCTAAAAATCATATCACTCGCCAATAGTCAGGATGGGGTTTTTTCTCTCTCCCATGATTATACATTATAATTCTGCAATGGTCCCAGTATTATATTCCCATTCATTTAAAGAGAGACAGCACACAACACATCTGTTAAAACTCAACAGTCACCATTGGCGGTGCACTGAATTTGGAAGCATAACCCAATCAGCTCAGATTTCTATCCTTTCTTAATGCAAAAAATTTAAAAATTAAGTTTGCTGAAACATCTGCTAGGCTCTTTCAGCCTTAACACATGATACTTTATTTACTCCCCTATTTGACAATGTCAACATTTTATTCTAAAGCAGAACTGTAGCAACATACAACTCCTAAATTTAGACATCAATGAGGTGCTATAGAATTAATCATCCATACAGTATATTCTAAGCTTACTTGTTCGTTTTTCATATAGAGGTCTTTTTATACTTCTCAATGCAACTCATCTTTACTGGGATTCCCCCACTCCCAAGCATGTAAACTGTAGCTCTGATTTCTCTCAAATACCAACCACAGCAGGGAACTCATATTCAGACATATGACACAGAACCAAACCACATAACTCTGAAAACACATGTTTATCAAAGACTAACCCAAACAATCAAGGGATGCAGCCTTTTTTGACCACAAGGGCCACCATTATATAAATGGTCAAGATCAACAAATTTAAGAATGATTGAAAACACAGTAAATATAAGAGAATTTTTTTAAAAAGCCAATCTCTCAATCAATCAACATGTATTAAATATCATGCTCTTACCAGTGACTTGGTGAATGGTCGAGCCAGTGTAAACAAGAGGGTGTAAAACCACCAGTTGTGATGAAGGGATGAGTAGATCAGATTTCCAGGATGCACTGCGTTTGAGATAACTCCATGGGTGGAAAGCCGCCGATTCAGTTCATTTGACAGAAGAATATTGCAAAGCTTAGATCTGTTGTAGGCCAACATAGCCCAATAATCTTTCTTCGATGGTGAAAGCAAGTTGAAGTCAAGTTTTCCTGAGTTCTCTTTAATATCCATGAACCTTCAAAGTCAAAACAAACAAAAAATTGTATGATTGTTGCAATAAAATTGCTGTTCTTCATTTAAATTGTTGTATCAGAAAGATGGGTGTGAAAGAGAGGGCGAGAGATTAAGATTCTTTGTGGAATTTCTTTCCTTCTGGACGGCTTCTCCATCCAGGCATACCTGCCAATCTAGTCTCCATTGGATTTACTGCATCCATCCACACATGTGGAAATTTAAGCCATTGCTTGCATTTTGACTGTGTTTTTTTTTTCCTTACTTCTGAAGTAAGGTATGTCTCTCATCTACCCCCTCACTTTCCTTTACCTGCGCTTTGGATCTTCCAACCTTCCAGAAAGTTCCAGAAAGCTCTTGGGAGCTAAGATGTGAATCTTTGGACATTTTTTGTTCTCTGGGATGGGAGAGGCAAGCCTGATGGGTTTTTGTTAAACCAAACTTCAGGGTCAAAGAGATAGATAGAACTGAAGGGAAGAAGAAAGAAAGAAAACACGAAAGAAAGAAAGAAAGAAAGAAAGAAAGAAA